TTGCATGTCTCGTCTGTATGTTTTCTGAACATTGATTCCTATCTAGCCTTGGGAAAGACGCAAAATGCCTCTTTGGGAAGAGGAACATCGTTGACCTCCTGCTAGTAGGACTGTATCACGACAATGAGAAAGATATGGTTGAACATCTGATTAATGGTATTGCATCACGCTATCACTCTGATTTAAAATTGGAAAGAACTGACCAATATTGCCGAATTTCTTGAAACTAAGATTTTCATACTACACACCTGGAGAACCATCTTCCCCGAAAACAGATCAGGTCCAAAGAAAAAAGACGAAGTTCTCGGGCAACCCCTCTTTGGAAACCCACTGATCAAGAATGATAAAGGGGATAGCCTCCCACTCTCAAAGTCAGAACCTAAATGGGGGCATTGGCTAGAAAAGGGAATATAGCAAATCAAGCACATCTGGAATGACTCAAACAAAACATGGAAATCAGAAAGAGACCTACGAAAAAAACTAAAAGGAATACACAATCTACAAACTAACCTAAACCACATCTTAGACTGCATTCCTTTACAATGGCGAGTTTTATTAGAATCAGATAAAAAATGGCATTACGGCGGCTAGGCTTCCACCACGGACTCCCCACCAACCCAGGAAGTCCTCTCATTCAAGAATTACGAACCTCATAACAACAGCTGCATATGATGCGACATACACACCCTAGAGGAACCAGGAAACCCAGTAAGTTACATCACTACAAAAAGCAGAGAGGAAGGAGCATTCAAAATCAACAACCTGAGAAGAATCAAAATCATAGAAGGAGAGAGAAAAAGAGTATATAAACCCAACATTAGCGTTTGCAACCTAGAGATCGATCCAATGGAATGGGCATGGAACTCCCCCTCTAGCTCTCCCTCATCTCAAACCATAGTAGGTTAACTGACCACACAACTAAACTAGGCTATATCAATATCCAACACACTATGCAATAGGTGGACAAAGGAGGAACCACAACTAGCCAACACCCACTTCAAGCTTCCCTGGGCTACAATCTTCTCCACAAGACCAGTCAAACTCGACAGCCTGAGATGGTTAATAGCCTTCAGAGCAGTTCCAGTAAATCAATGGTTGGCCAACAGACGCAATCATGAAAACAGAACGGAACAGGACTCCCGGTGCAAGGTATGCAACCTCTCTGCCCCTGAATCCCTGAACCATTATTTTATAGATTGCCCAAAGGTCAGATCCCTCTGGCAAACTATAGAAGCTTCATGGCATAAAATCTCAGACTTTCCCCTTTTAATCAATCCCGCCACACTATTCCTAGACCTCAAACAATCACCCCCGCTCAACGGCTTTGAAGCCTTCCTGTCCTCACAAATCAAAAAAAGCACCCTATGGGCTAGTTGGAAAAACAGATGTGACAACACCTTTGATGATCGACTCACCGCCTCAGAGAACCCACTCGTCACCATCAAACAACAAATAGACACCGAAATCCACGCCCTCAGAAAAAAACAACTTGACAAGCTCCCCACGGATCCCGACAAAAAAAAACGAAATAATCAAAAGTTCTCAACCTCCAAGCTAGGTAACGGGATACTAGGCACAATCAACAACGACAGACTAACTCCAAAAAACTGGCTAATTATGACACAGACACAAAACGCTTCAATAACCCCCCTATCCCTCACACAATTACCCCCAAACCAACCACCCATCACTAACCCACTACCGAACCAATAAAGACCCCTCGCCCCCCAACAACCCCTCACCTATCACCTCTCCCCCCTACCCAGGAGCATCAATCCCCACGCCATCTCTATCCCCTTCTACCCCCCCCCCCCCCCCCCCCCCCCCCCCAATAATCCTCCATACATTACACA